TCAAGGTGCAAACAGGAAATAAACTGCTTTGGTCATGTGGCAATTTGCACTAATCATGTGAAACTGCACATATTTAATTGAGACCCTTTATTTTTTTCCATATTTGCAGGAAGTGCACTAAAACATCAGTCAGTAAGGTTTTTAGAGCTTTATAAATGAAAACCTTTTTAACTGTCACTATTGTGACTGGTGGGATTAAATGGGTTAACAGTTATTTTTCTTCTGAAGTACAGGAAGCCGCAAGGTCCCAAAATGTGCTTCAGTGTGGGGAAATAATCCTCCTGATATTTCATGTCTCTTCAGAATAAATGTGAAACCACAAGGTGGCGCACATTGTATGTTGAAAACAGGGGTAAAGTTCTTGCGTCTCCTCCCCTACAAAACTACAACTCACCTCCCATTTGCTGACTGCCTTCATCAGCACAAACAAGCCTGAACCAGACAACAGACTACATCTCAGCAGAGCACAAGGCAAAGGAAACTTAAATCAAAACCCAATATTCAGAAGAATGGATCCCAACCAGTCTTTTAATCAGCCTCCAGGGGCCTGGAATTCATCTGAAAAATCAGTGATGTTGTATCCTTCGGCACCACCACCAGCATACCAGGCCAATCCTGCTGGATATCCTCCCTCCTTTCCAAGCCAGCCATTCCCCCAAGGCCCCCACGCCCAGGGGCCGTATCCAGGACAGCCCGTGGTTGCTGTACAGCCTGCAGTTTTTGTGACAGCCGCTCCACTGGCTAGTCAAGTGCCAGATTACTTGGGTTACTCTATTTTTACCATGCTGTGCTGCTGTTTTCCTCTGGGCATTGCTGCACTTATTTTCTCCTGCTCTGTAAGTATTAGTTCATGTGCTTTCCTTTTATTTAATTTCTTTATTTAGATGACAAATTGCTTCTAAATTGCTTCTTTTGTCATAACAGTTATTTGGTCGAATATTATGGTTTTAAAGTGTTTCTATTATGAGCCTCAATAATTAATTGATCATTATTCTTTCATCATTCTGCACTAGGGGTTTGGAGAATGAATTGATGAATATATATATATATATATATATATATATATAGTAGGTATATTATTATTTCTGTGTAAGTCATTGATATCAATGCAGAACTATTTGAGCAAGTTTTCTCAAAAAGTATTACTCACTCCACAGATTTTTTTTTCTACATGCTTTGATCTATTGTCTGAAACTCTATTGCATTTTAAAAGAAAAAAAAATCCCCCACATTCATCCCACGCATTATGAGTGATTCACTTCCTAAATGATTCTAGTGAACACAGTGTATTTTTGAATACAGCAGTAATAACTAATACATTTCCTGTACATGACATAGCGCTTTAAACTATTTCATAACTAAGATACAGTTGATTGCCAAGAAGGCTATGTGAGCCTGTTAAATAGCCTGTAAAAGTGCTGTACTTGTGGTTACAATAATATGTAAACAAGACAAGTTATTTCATGTAGCTGCCATGCTCCATTTATAAAGTGTGTGTACAAGTGGGTGGGGGTTCCTGTCTTTTGGTTTCCAGTAAATGACGGTCAGTTGAGAAAAGGTGTGGCACTGTAGACTCCCTCAACAACAACATATTTTTAAGAAAATATATAGATCTATATATATTATTTTAGTTATTTTTTACTGTTTTAGTGCTGTATAGATAATTTCAATGATTTAAAAAAACAAAAAAACAAGGAAACTATTTTTATTAAAAAATTGCTAACAAATTTAACAGCATGTTTTCAAGTAGGCTAAAGGCTACACATTCAAATTTGTCATCTTAACGTGGTAAAACTGTGCGCCTTTACACATGCTAAAGAAACGTGGTGAAAACTGACGCCTTAAAGGGGTAGTTCACCCAAAACCTAAAATTAACCCATGAATAACTCACCCTCAATCCATCCTAGATGTATATGACTTTCTTCTTTCAGACAAATGCAATGTCCTGGCACTTCTAAGTTTTATAATAACAGTGAATGGTGGTCGAGAGTTTTAAGCCCAAAAAGTGCATCCATCCATCAGATCTGTGGGGTTAATAAAGGCCTTCTGAAGTGGTGTAGCCTAATGGTGTAAGAAAAACATCCAATATAAAACATTATAAACCATATTTCACAAACAATTTCAAAGAATTGGCAAGTACACTGTAAAAAGTGAATTTTTAAAGTTATAAATAAAACAAAGACTATTTTTAAAGACTTTTTTATTTTTTAGAAATTACAATTTTCTACTTAAATGTGACACTTTGAATTAAACTTGAAATTTTGAAGTAGTATTTTTAGAAGTATTAGAAATTTTAGAAGTATTATTTTCTTTAAAAACACTCCAACAAGCTTAAAAAAAAAAAAAAAATTACAGTGTAGGTCAAATGACTGCATGCAGACCCCATTCAATATGGGGTTAAGAACCATAAGACGGTTTTTATGTCTAAAATGTGTTGAGTTTTCAAGTTAATCTGAAGAGCTTGATTTATTGGTTCAGGTGCATTAGAACAGGGTTACTAATGGCAGACAGCTGTTTGAGGCCTCTGTTTACACTGTCAATACAATAATGCAGCCTGAACTGGTCAAACTGATAGAAACGAATGGCCAGATTACATTTAGAATGATGATCAAACAACTTAGAATGATGATCCGTGAGCAAACCAATTTTTTGTAAGCACTAAGATTGTAACGTGGGAGGCGTGACAACAGAGTTGAGGATCCAAATGCAGCTTTTATTCACAAGAGTGGTCAAAACAGACAGGGTCAAACACCAGCAAACAGGTACAATCCAGGGTGAGACAAAACAGCAATCTAATAAACAGTTCAAGGTCAAAAAACAAGAAGGCAAGGAAAGGCAAGGCAAGGAAACACAGAGACTCGGAACAGGGTACAGGCTAAACAATAATCAGCCATGTGTGTGTGGATGAGTGCAACCTTTATAGTGTCACTGATAGGAAACAGGTGTGGTGCAATAATGAGTTCCTAGGCAGGGGTTTATGGGGAATGGAGTCCGGAGAGAACCAAGACAAAACCCCTTATCGTGACAAAGATCAGTTAAATGAAAGGTTTTCTGCAACCTTCAAGATTTAATGGCCAATGGTCTGACAAGAATATTAACCATAATAATAGTAATTTGCACTAATACTAATAAATAAAGTATGAAATGTTTAAAAATGTATGACATGTTGGTGTGACTTGGTTTAAATATATAAATACAAAAATATTGTGTTGTTTGCTTGTTGGTACAGCATAAATTTAGCATAAATAAATAGTATTTAATACAACCTAGAAACCTTCCATCAAATGAAAACAACGCATTAAAGGTTACTAAGAAAACCCATTCACAGAGTGGAGTTTGCCCCCTCTTTTGAGAGCTCCCCCATCTGCCATTGGCTCAAAGAATCTCAGAATGAGAACAGAAGTGGCTGACACTGTGTTTCACTATTGTTATTACAGGCTCGAAATGCCAACTACTCAGGACAGCGAGAATTAGCAGAGAGTAACTCCAAAACGGCGCTCAACCTGAATCATGCTGCCCTTGGTATTGGCCTCATTGTCATTGTACTGTTGATTATTGTTAATATTGTGCTTTGAGTTGATAAAAGCTATTAGAGCTGTCATGGTTGGATGTAGATTACAAACAGATTTGATTCTTTGCATTGCAAATGCTGTTTGCTCAATGTATCATTATAGCCTACTTACAACATAAACTTTAAGGCTGATTATTGTATGTTTAGACTTTTTTTTGCTTATCTTGTGTGCAGCTGTGCTAATTTGAGCTTTTTACATACATTTTTATTATGTACATGTATTGACATAAAATACATTCACTGATTATATCTTTCAAATGACTGTACGTGAATTATTTTCTCACTCACACACAACCAGTGGCGGCTCGTCGGGGGAGGCAGGGGAGGCACAGCTTCCCCATAATTTTGAGGTGAAAATGGGAGGAGGACGATTTAATGTTAATAAAATTCACAATTCATTTCAGTTCATGTCTCAGAATGTGTATTTTTTGTTTGTAATTTCACAGTTGTAATACCATAACGTGAAAGTGCCGCTTTTCTATCGCGAATGTGCCGAATCTGCTGATGTAATTACAACTGCTAGGATATGGAGAAGGGTAGGGGGAGGCCGGGGGAGAGCTGAGCTCTCGTGCCTCCGTTGGTAAAAAAAAATAATAATAATAATCGGCAGAGATCCCAGACCAATACAGTTAGTGTGCCTCCTATTTTAAAACCCACGAGCCGCCACTGCACACAACCCACTATCAAAACTCTTTATGTACTTTATGTTTTTCAAAACTGTTAAACTTAAGTTCAACCCCTCAAACAAACAAATAGCCTAGATAAATATCTAATCAGCAATTTGCTGCATTTCCACAGTAATAAAAAAAATTAAATACTTTCAAAAGATGTAAGTGTTAGTCAATTTTATTACCATCAAAACAAAAGGTAAAAACTTCGCATACTTGCAATGAATTCTCAAAACAGAGTGGTGTCATATTAGCCCCTTTTACACATACAGTCTTTACTGGTAAATTTTGTATTTTATAAAATATTTTCAAAAATACCAGTAAATTCGTTTTACTGGTAAAAGCAATTTACCGATATGCGAAATTGTAACATTTCCAGTACATTACCGGTAAGTTAATGTGCTCTGTGTGAACCTCTACTCTGGGCCAGTCATAACATTCTGATGCAGATGACGCATTTACTCCACGCTGTGTAGTTCGGTTTGAAGTCATCTGATATGATGTCTCTGGGCCAAAAGCAGCTGCATGAATGTGAGCGTTTGCCACAAGAATTAAAACATCAACGAAAACACTAAACGCTTAAGTTTACAAATACCGGGAGGCGCAGCCGTTTAGAGGTCATTTCCGGTTAATGTTGACACAGAATTTAACGGTATTATGACACTGGTGTGTGAACGGTGCTTTAACGGTAAAAAGAGGAACGTCATTGCCTGTGTAATTTTACAAGAATTTATTTCTGTGTGAAAGGGGCTTATTTTATGAGAACATTTTCAAAAGAAAACCTTGTATAGGCTAATGCTACCTGTTGTTAGTGTTTTAGGAGTGACAAACTGTGTTGAAAATATTTGCTAGTGCTATGGGAGAACGATTTGATTTCAGACATGTATTAACCCTTACCAAAAAAGTAGTATACTTCAAGTTAATTTTATTAAGTATACTTAAGTAAAGTTCAAGTATATTTTTAAGTATACTTTTAAGTATACTTTATGTAGCAAGTATACAAATATCAGTGTACTAGTAGTATACTTGTAAGTGTACTATTTCAATACTCCTTGGGACTAAATTGGCCCACTTTCTAGTATATAAAAGTATACTTTAAGTATAACAGTAGTAAACTTTAAGTACACAACTAGTTTACAACAATATTTTTAGCTTGTACTGCAACTATACTAAAAGTGAACTAGGTATACTGATAGTTTTCTAATTAAATACTTGTAGTAGCATTTTTAGTACACTTTGAAGTATAGTCTCAGTAAACTACTAGTTTAGTAGTTTTATACTGCAAGTATACTCGTAAGTTTTCTTTAAGTTTCTTTAAGTATACTACTATGTCCCTATTTAGGTATTAATTTGAATATATTTTGTTACATGAATATCTGAACATACAAAACATCAAAAGAACAGGGTATCTGCTTGTAAAAAAAATTTGTTATTCTAGCTTCATGCATTCTTTTTTTAAACACTTGAAAGTGGGTAAGTTTCATAAATAAAAAATAAACAAATAAACAACATTTTGAACAAAAAGCTGAAAAAAGACTATGAATTGGATTCAGAATGATAATCAAAACGTAGATAAAGTCGATCAACACCCCAAAGCTTGACAGTTATTATTACCTCTCCATTGGTCGACATTTTATTCCATAACGTTACACAGTTTTGATGCTGTTTTATGTCTGATGATCGTGTTAGAATACATGTGGAAGCATCTGTTGTTTCGGTTTCTTCACTTGTGTTTTTTGGAAATTCTGTACAGAAGATGTGTACTAGCGCCCCCTACAGTATAACAATGAAAACACGGATTCTAGGAGCACAAATATAGCTAAAATATATTTAGTATAAGTCAAGTATACTTAAATGTCATTTTAAGTATATTTCTGAGAAGTACATAAAGCCCATTTCTGAGAAGTACATAAAAAGTAGACTAAAAGTATACTTTCCTATTTTTAGTTTAAAAGAAGTATACTAATAGCACACTTGAATAAACATCTTTTTCGTAAGGGTGTGAAAACTCCCAGCTCATAAAGACCCGACATACTGAAGGCCCTGTCTTTAAGTGTGTCTGCGTTATTAGTCCTGCATTCTTCCCTAGACCGGTGAGTATAATTTCCCCTGAGAAGACTGTCATGCTTTGGCCTACTTCTGATAGGTTTGTTCAAGCAGATATGCTGACAGGTTCAAGCACCTTCCAGAGATGTGCAATTGGCACAGAGCTCTTATAAAAATACTGATTTCACACACTGACAGCTGACACTATCACTTTTTTTAAACCGAAAAAGCCACTTTTTCCACACTTTTTAAAATTCTGTTGCATTGTTTGCAGTAACACAGTGATAAAGTGAACGATGTATATGTACATTTACTTTTATGCATTTGACAGATGCTTTTATCCAAAGTGACTTGCATTGCATTCAAGTTATAGGTTTTATCAAACTTGCGAATTCCCTGGTAATTGACCCCATGACTTTGGCGTTGTTAGCGCCATGCTCTACTGTTTGAGCTACAGAAATTTAGTCACAAAATCAGAGACCTTCCCCTAGAAATGGTGATCTGTCTCATATTCTTATACATATTCAGATTAAAACAGGGATACATTGCTTTACACCAGCACCAGTTCTCAACTGTTCTGTGGACTGCAGGGAAAAACAATGCTAAAGGCAAATATTAAAAATGGCAGACTCATAAAAAAAAATGTGTAGCAGTATTATTATTTGCATTTTATTGTATTGCATTGCATCAGTGTTATTTTAGTATCATTGTTAAATTATTATTTATTATTTGTTACATTATTATAGTTTTAATTAATATTTTGAATTAGTTTTTATTTTTATATTTTTTTCATTAGGGTTAGTCTTTTTATGTGTGTGTGTGTGTGTGTTTGTCATTTTTATCAAGCCCCACTCTATTCGGTCCTCCTTTTTTCTTTTTTAAAATCCTGCTTCACTCTGAAATCGAATAACTGAAGTAAATGACTTGCAAATGGTAATTCACACTGACTTTTAAAAAGGCAAATTGAACTCATTTTTTTAAACTGGAAACAATTTCTGCTTCAATCTGGCTGTTTTGTGTCTCCAAAAGCAATGCTAAATGCAAATAATAAAATACTATCATTTTATAGTTTTTTTAAAATGTTTTGAATTTGTTTTTATTTTTATATTTTCCATTTTCATAATTTTATACTGTTTTTTTTATTTTAGTTTTAGTAGTAGTTTTGTTTTGTATATGTATTTGTAGTATATTTTTATATAATGTATATATAGGTTTTTATATATATATTTTTTTCCAGTTAATGTTTATTTTATTTCAATTGTTTTAGCTTTAATTTTACTTTTAGTTTTAGTTAACTATAATAATCCTGCATTGCATTGCAAAACATACAAAAAAATACAGTTTTTTTTTTCTGTTTTCAGTCTTTGACATGTTAATAATTGTGCATATTGCTGGGCCTGTGCAGTTTTTCAGGGTCAGGTATTCAGTTGGTGCCAGTTGAAACCAGCCTAATTGATTAGTTGACTAGGAACACACTGACATGTTGGTTTTGAAAATAGATGGGTTTTTTTCATTCCTACACCAGTAAGCATTCCTAGTCCAGCATGGAAATTCATGCT